AGGAGGCAGGGGTGGCCAGCAGGCTCCGGGGCGCAATGGTGCTGGCTGTGCGCAGTCGCGGCGTTTCCCGGCTGCGGCCCTTTAAATCGGTGGGGCGGGACTAGGCGTTGCCAGGGGTGGCACCGGCTGCTTACCTGAAATGCCACCCCTGGCAAAGTGCTGCCCCAAGCACCTGCCTGATTTGCTGGTGCCTAGAGCCGGCCTTGGTGGTTAGTCTACTATTCTGCTAACCACTAACTAAAATCCCTATGCTCAGATAGTCAGAGCTGCTTCCTCTTTCAGAAATCTTCCAATGCGGGACTAGGCGTTGCCAGGGGTGGCACCGGCTGCTTACCTGAAATGCCACCCCTGGCAAAGTGCTGCCCCAAGCACCTGCCTGATTTGCTGGTGCCTAGAGCCGGCCTTGGTGGTTAGTCTACTATTCTGCTAACCACTAACTAAAATCCCTATGCTCAGATAGTCAGAGCTGCTTCCTCTTTCAGAAATCTTCCAATGGAAGAGCTTTATTCCAATGAATTAACTGCAGTGACTGATACATAGAATTGGAAATTGTTGTTGTAATATAATTTTCTTATTTTGAGTGCAACATAATGTTATTTCTTGATGGCTGGAGTAATCGTTCTGTCTTAATTCGTGGGTTTTTTTTGTACTTCTGTCATTTTAAGGCTTGCTACGTATTAAGCAATGTATTGTACTGGGGTGTTATTTCCAAAGTGCACTAATGTGTTGCACATTGATTTGTGAAGATCCTGCCAGTGCACACTGAATGTTTCCTAGTGCATTTCAGCGTAGTGCTGCTAGGTCCTGGAAAGAGGAAGCACTGAATATCTAGTCCCCAGTCCATTTTAGATGTAATGGTTTTAGAGCTCAATGCTAAGACTTTGGAAGTGGATCTGGTATTGGATGGAGAACTAATGTGGAGCACCATGATGTTGTGCTCTTTTTCACTGGCCCTATCTTGTAAGTGGGCAAAAGGATCCAACTGAAGCTTCCGGTACAGGCTGACAGTAAAATGTGTGCATCCATGGGGAAGAGTTCCCATTAAATACTATCCATCTCCTATCAAATTCAGTTGGACAGGTTTCGAATACTCCTAATTTATCTGCGTAGAGGGCTGCTGACATAGTGTGCTCCATCTTTGTCTCACAGTGACGGATACTGCGTGAGGGGTGTAAGTAAATTCTTTATGATAACTGAAATATGCTGTCACTGGAGCAAATAAAAAATAATATTGATAACCAGCTGAAAGGTTTGAAAATCTAGTTTGTCAGCAGTAAATTTACACAAACTACTGTGAAGTTTTATTTTTTTTAATTGAGAAGGTACTTTACTTAAGCAATGCTAGTTGCAGATTATTTTAAGTTTGTAATCTTCGTGTCCCACAGAGTGTCACCTGGGCATCAAGAAGAGCTTTCTGGAGTTATCTAGGACAAGCTGGAACACGGTGAAGTTCTGCTATTGCATAGAATGTACATGTACTTATCCAGTGTAAAAGATATTGTTGCACTTTTCAAGTCAAATCCTAGCCCCTGACAAGTAAATGGGAATTTTGCTATTGACCTCAATGAGAAATGGATCATTGGAAATGAGGCAGTCTGAAACCTAGGCTGTCCTAATGTCCCTTTTCCTCTTCCCTTGAGTTTTTTGTGGTGCCATGCTTGATTACTGTTGCAGGGGAACCATGCCCAGCCCTACGCAACCCTCCAGGGCCTCCCACTTATTTTGGGAGCAGGACCTGACCCAACCCCAACACTTAGGCCTCCCCCACATCCATTTGACACATTTTGGTGACCAAACTGAGAAACCCAAAGCAGATGACAGGGATGTAAAGATGCCAGTACAGGTTTAGTCAAGTCCAGGCAGAATAAATGAAGTAAGAGCAGATCTTATGTGATTTTTTATGGAAGTGAACAGCTCCTAGAACTAATCAGCAGACTTTGAATCTTTATTTTTAAATGCAAGGTTGAACATTGAGATGCATTCTGTGCTACTGTGGAATATTTTATCAAAAAGACTGTTCTTGAAATGCAACAGTAATCAAGAATGCATTTCAAGAACAGTCTTTTTGATAAAATATTCCACAGTAGCACAGAATGCATCTCAATGTTCAACCTTGCATTTAAAAATAAAGATTCAAAGTCTGCTGATTAGTTCTAGGAGCTGTTCACTTCCATAAAAAAATCACATAAGATCTGCTCTTACTTCATTTATTCTGCCTGGACTTGACTAAACCTGTACTGGCATCTTTACATCCCTGCCATCTGCTTTGGGTTTCTCAGTTTGGTCACCAAAATGTGTCAAATGGATGTGGGGGAGGCCTAAGTGTTGGGGTTGGGTCAGGTCCTGCTCCCAAAATAAGTGGGAGGCCCTGGAGGGTTGTGTAGGGCTGGGCATGGTTCCCCACTCTGGCTAGGTCTCAGTACCACAAATCTGGCCTGGCCAGCTCTCCACTGGGGCACCATACCAAAGCTTAACAGTGCTGTGACCCCAAGGGTTGCAGCAGCTGGAGCTGGGAGCCATGTCCAGCCACAGGCGTGCCCCCCCTCCCATATGCTACATACAGTGTACTTTTTCAGTACTTACTATGTTAATGTATGCATTACACGTAGTGGGTAAAAATAGTTAATAACAGATGTTTTTGTACTAAAGCTATATACTGAGTTGCAGCAAGCCATCAATTTTTAAAAATGGGTTCTGAGCACACAAGGTTGAGAACCATTGTTCTGCATATTTGAACATTGTATAACAGTAGCATAAATGTGAAAATCAAATACAGGCAGTCCCCGGGTTACATGGATCCGACTTACATCGGATCCCTACTTACAAATAGGGTGAGGCAACCCCGCACTAGCTGCTTCCCCCCAGCAGACCAGGGAGACGCAAAGCGGCTTTTCTTAGCAGACACCTCAGCTTGAGAATAAAGGACTGAGGGAAGTGAGATGTGGGAGAATAAAACTGAGCTCTGGAGAAATGTTTGGCTAGAGTTTCCCCTACAATATGTACCAGTTCCAACTTACATACAAATTCAACTTAAGAACAAACCTACAGTCCCTATCTTGTACGTAACCCGGGGACTGCCTGTAGTCTATTGAGATGTCCTTAAGTCTTATTTTTATATAGAGAAATTTTTGTAAAATATCATTTCAAGCAGCAATCATCCCTCACTTGGAGCATCATTCCACCAATTAACTATATTTGTCTATGGTTAAGAGTAAGGCCCTGCAAAAACTATAACTGTCAGAGATCTAGGTAAACCATCATGTCCCTATCCGGTTACTCAAAGTTAAAAATTGTCCTGTAAGAGGGTGGTGATCATATCCATGGTTTTTATTTGGGTAGGGGAGTATTATAGAGTGATACTTCAACTTTTACTCTTGTTTTGAGTCCAGAAGAACTGTTCCACTTAAGATAACTTTCATCATTAGCATTTTTAATCATGTATGAAACGATACATTCCACAGCATCTGTTCAGGGTTTTAAATTCTTTTTGCCCTATGATGATAATTTTCTAGCAATTACAACAGCAAAAAAGGCAATGAAGTTCTTTGTAATTTCTTTGGACTCATAAAATTAAATATATGATTCTCACTCCCAATTTATTGTGTGTGTGCTGAAGGTAACTTGCTGGGGTTTTTCATATTACGGAAGTAATATAGGCAATATAGTATAGGCAATACAAATTCACAATAGAAATTGACTAATATTAAACATTTTATGCCATTGGTGATTTCCATGTTTTATGGCTTCTATATACTATCCTTTAGAAAAAAGTAATTTACTTTCCGTATTGTTAGTGTGTGTTCCATGTCTCATTGAAGATTTACATGTTAAAACTTGTCTTTCTCAAATGAATCCTACAATTTAGATTCTGAATCTCTGATCTTCTATGTTTGAAAATATATGTAAATAATGTTTTAGTGTCAAAAGCATTGTCTTGTTCTGTGTGCAGCCATTTTACATCATAATCCAATATTTATTAATGAACACCGATTCACAAATAGGATATTATTTTCCTGAAACTTAACAATTGTGATTAAATTACTCTGAAATTATTTTCAATCCATTTTAAAAGTACTGTACAGAAAATCTGGGCACTTACTTTACAGTGCAACACATGCAGAATAGTGAGAGATGATTTTGATTTAGTTTTGATGAACTCCTACTTTTGAGTTTGCAGTTGTTTGGCAGGACTCACAAGTAATCAGATCTCTTTGGAAAGAATATGTGAAAACTGATGGAAAGGTGCTAATAATAATTGTTATAATAAAAATGGCTCACTGTATTTTCAGGGTAGCATTTTGTCATTTTAATGCACTGTATGGTAAAATCTGAGGGGCATCAGAACATTATGCTGAAAGAAAGAATGAAAGATAACAGCTGACTGGCAGCGCAGTGCAGTGTGAAAAGCTTAGAGCAGCATTAAATCAGTCCCTTCTAATTAGTTGCTGTCACATATCACCTCCAGGTATGCTTGGTTTAAAAAAAAACCTGCTTTGAGGAGATAAAATATTTTACTTTTCTTGGAATATCTTCTTTATTTTTTCACTTTTTTATGGAAACACCAGGCGAGGATTTTTTTTTTAATTCTTTTGGTCTTTTTTTTAAAAAAAATAACACTATCCCTGAACATGACTGTGTGTTGACTGTGTAAATAAATGAGCCACCACATTGGAAACTCTGTGTGATTCTACACATGCTGTGCTAATGCATGGTAAGCCCTCTTATTTTCGGAAGACCTGATTTCCTCTTCATAGGTCAGTGCACCTTTCATATCCCTAATTAGATTGAACAGAAAATACCATGTTCTATAAAGGCAGTATTGAAGTGTGGAAGAGTAATGATTGTTCATTCAGCTTAGACCAAACAAATCTCATAGCACGGTGCTCTCTCATCTGCTTCTGATGAGACAGTAATATGGTGTAGACAGTTTCTGTAAAACATGCATATGTGACTATCTTCCCTTTTCTAGCCAGGACAGTTTCTCCTACATTGATTTAACCATGCCGTGGGCAAAGGTGAGGGGAAAAGCCTCTTGCTAAGAAAAGGAATAATTAATGAATGTCTTAATTTTGTTCTCTTCCCTCAGGTCCTAAAACAATTACTGTATGGGGGAACATCTGTTTGCCTAGGAGAAATGAGTTACCTGTGTGTTTAAAAACCAAGTCTGATCTACAGAAATTAGTATTTAACCCATTTGCCTATCTGTTGAGACAGGAAAAAAATAGAAAAAAAGGTACAGATGGGAATGTTATGTGTAGTGTTCCTGATGAAGGCTGAGGTTGAGGTGGGAATCTCTGTCTTTAGTTGGGCACCATTTTTCCTGTTGCAAGTGGTGCCAAAGTTTAAAAGCAGCCTGCCTGAAACAGGGACAAAAAGTGGCTGTTTTACCAAAGGAAGGAACTACTGGAGCAACAAGCCAGCGGGGGGGGGGGGGGTGGTGTTGCAGGAGACATGGAGAGCAAAAGTTGGAACACAGAAGCTGCAGCTGAAGGGTACCTGCTGCTTGCAGGCCTGGAGCAGCTCAGAAGCATCACTCCTCATCGTGTAGACTAGTGGTGGGCAACCTGAGAGACATTTTACCATTGCCCATGCCAGGGTTGCCAGGTTCAACTGTTTTCCCACCCATGTAGGTTTTTTCCCTACCACTATTACTAAAGTGACACACATAAATAAAGAGCATGTGAAGAGAGGTACATGCTGATTGCACACAACATAGATTCTGAGTGCCATGTTCTCCCTCTGCATCCAATCAAAGCACTGCTACGGTTCAATCAGCACTCCCGCAAATTCTAGGTACTCAAGCACAGTTGGCAAAACTATCCTGGGAGACAATCTTTGTTATGATGGTCTCGTGACCCACTGAGATGAAGAAGGGCTACTCGTGCAGCCCACTCACTAGCTTAGGTTACCCATTGCTGGTGTAAACTCTGCCTGTTGTTTTGGCATTTGCAAGTTGAGGAATCGCTTGCCTGGTCATCACTCTAGTAGCAGAGTGCATTGGTAGAGTGGAGCTTTGGAGTATGTCACTGATTATTTTTTCCCAATTTGACCCTATAATTACATCATAGAAGCCAAATTGCACTATCCAAGCTGTTGTCTGCACATATAGCACTTAGCCATCAATCAGTTTAGATCATCGTGACCTTGGCAACAGGATAAAGGTAAATTCCTTACTTGGATCAATATTGCTAAAATAAAATGTTCCAAGTTTGAGTCACAAAAGGCTTTTCTTAATGTCGGATTTGGAAGAAAGAGTTTATTGCTTCCCAATTTTTTTTGACAAATATTTATTCTTGTGAGTAGCAGGAGGGGGGCAAGTTCCATTTCTGTACAGATTTAAAATCCTCTGACACTAATTCAGTGGGGATTTCAGTATGGAATCTAGTTATGCTGGCTTCTCTGGAAGATTCCCTTTCAAGGCTTCTGTATGAAACAGTAATTGGCTGAATTTATTCGTTTTCTGCAGCGGTAGAGTCATTTTTGTTTGTCCCCAGTGACAACTGAGACTTATCTTCATCCTGGAATACATTGAGCCAGAGTAAGCCCATGCACCATCTCCCAAGAGTCAGAAGCAGCGTAGGATGCTGAAAGCACCAGCTGTTTAGGAGTTTCAATGTAATGTCATTAGGAGTAGAAGCAAACTGTTCAGAGAGAGAATAAACACCAATTTTCTAAAAATCCCAAATGGGATTTATGATTTAATCCAGTGGCAATAGCTAGTGCTATGAAATGATTTAGGACAGGGTATCAAGTGGATATTGTGTTCTTTGACTTCCAAAAAATTTTAATATTTAAAAAACTGGATGTGGCATTATGAGAGATTGTCTGTTTTTGAAATCTGCAGTCATAGAGCCATGATCAAATCCTTCCCCAAAAGCTGATTTTGATGTATTCAGCTCAGGAAACGGTATAGTTGATATAACCAACTTGCCTCAAGGAACATGCACTGAAAAAAGAAAATAGCTGTTGAGGTGATATGAAAAATCCAGTCTAGTGCCCTGTTGGTTTAGTATTAGGAGCTTAGGATAGTAGAATAGTTATTTTTTACTTTTCATGGTAAGTCCATAAATGCAAATCCATAGTGAAGCGAGGTATTTGATATGTCCATAATAGAACAATACTCTGATGCCTAAATTGCAGGATAGCTTGGAAATGCAAGACATTAAACAGCTATATTTTATTGCCTATTTAAAATTATAGCTGTGCTGAATAAATTGAGCTTTAGTGGTTGTGTCTACTTCTGCATAAATGTCAGCTGCATGTGAGAGACCATGTAGTAGCAACTGGTTAAATATCTTAAAAATTAGCATTTCCTATAAACAAATCCCACTTCTTCAGGATGATGCAACTTGAACTAGCTAAGATTGAGTTTTCTTTCTAATTCCATTGAATCTCTTTAGTGTCCAGATACAGCCTTTCTATGTGTGCTCCACCTAAAGTCAACAGGGGGAGTCTGAAAATTGGGTGATTTCACTATATCTGAAACCTCAGTATTGTCGAGAAATTGAACAGTAGTTAATTTGTTGTAAAATGTTGTGCAGCCCTTTTTATTGTGATAAATAAAAGCTGGTGCAACAGAACCTGTATATTTAGGGCTTGAAGAGAAAAATGTAATTAAGATATCTGGGAAGTAAGAAAATGTAAGAGTTTCTTAGATCAGTGGTTTTCAAAGTGCAGCCTTTCATGTGGTCCATAGTGCCCCCCCCCACACACACAGACAGAGCGGGGAGGTTTCTCTAGCTTCCCTCTGGGAGGGTGCGCGGAGGGGAGGAGGCAGAAAGGCGGGGGGCTATTTACCCTCTCCTAAAGAGGATGAGGGAGAAAGGGGCTCAGACAGGGAGAGGCTGCAAGTGGAGCCCAGCAGGGGGTGTTTCCAGTTGCATGGGCAAGGAGAGGCTGGGGGTTGGGGGCAAGAAGGATTTCCCTAAACTGTTCTGGCTTTCACTCTGGCGGTGAAGGGCTTGGCTCGGATCCTTCCCATCAGCCCATTAAGAGTGATGGGAAATGCAAAGGAGCTACAGCGGTGGCTGGGTCATGCAGGAGGCAGAAGCCGGGGGCAGGAACGCTGCGTGTGTGACTCGGTGCAACCAGTGAGCTCGGGTGGAAAGTTTCCACTCCCTTCGCTTTGCAACTCAGATTCCCTTGCACGTGCTAGCTGGTGGGTCTAAACCTGGGGAGCCTCCTTCTTGCAAAAAGGCAGTGAGGGATGATTGGGGGGGAGGGAGTACATCGGGTTATTTGCAAAATCTGGTGCGTTTGGCAGGAGCGGGTCCCAACATATCAGGCTCATCCGAGACTAGGGAATTTGCAGCAATGCAAGGGAGCCAGCCTCTGAGATGGGGCAGGTGGAAAGGAACTGAGTAACCAACCCCAGCTGGGTTACTCTGGGGACAGCAGCAGGTCCCCCTTCCCCAGTGCCCTGGGCTCACCTTTCGCAGCCAGGTGAGCTCAGCCTAGTGCCAGGGCTGGGCCTGACCCTTAGGAAGGGTTCCCCTCTAGCCGCTCTGAGGCTGCAATGCCCAAAGGAGGAAGGGGAGGGCAGGCAGCAAGGTGCCTGATTTACTTGGGGTTGGTTCTGCTTGGCGCAGGGGATGTGACCAGAAGGCCTCCTGGAGTTTCTTACAACCCTGCTCTTCTGTGGCTCTATGTCCCTGAGGCTGGAGTAGCTGCATGAGCTCCCTGCTGAATTGGGGAGGAGAGGAGGCTGAGTTTCCCCCTCCCCGCTGGGGGGATGGCAGTGCAGTGACGTGCTGTCGGAAGGCAATGGGAGCAGCGGGAGACAGTGCTTGGGAGCAATGGGGGCACAAAGCCAGATAAGTGCCTCCCCCATGCCCGGACCCTTGCACCCCAATCCCACTCACTCACTCTCCCACCCCCACCAAGACCCCACACTCCCAGCTTGCTCCTACACCCTCCCTTGCTCGTGCACCTCCCTCCTGGCCAAGCACCCTACCTCCAGTCTGTTTGTGCACCCTCCCTGCTCGCCAGACTCCCTACTCCCAGCCGGCTTCTGTAGCCTACTTCCCACCCAGATCTTGTACCCTCGCCCCCTCCTGCACCCCACCTCGTGCCCAGATCCTATACCACCATACCTTTTCCACTTGCTGGCAGCTCTGTCCCACACACTGAACCCCTCATTTTTGTCCCCACCTCAGAGCCTAAGGGGGGTCCACAAAATCCACTAACTCCGAAATCCCAGAATACTCCAGCATGAGGCGAACAATGATTAATATTATTGCCATAATACTTTGATGCTCAACAGGCTCCACAGTGGATTCTAGGCTTATGCTGCTATGGCATCTACATGGATAGCCAGGCTAAAAAGGGTCCAAAAAGATGGTTTCCCCTTGCTTTCAAGCAGGGCAGGAGGGAGGTTGGTTGCATTATAGAACACTGACAACATGAACCCAGAACCACCAGCTGCACAGTTTTGGTCCCAGCAAGCACTGAAAGCATAACCCAGAATACAAAGGGGCACAGGAACTTTGGGATAGCCACCTCCAGTGTTTCATTCTCAAAGCTGACGGCAGCCCCCTACTGGGGATACACTTCGAAGTATGTCAAATTCTTGCACTCAGTGGGGACATGCACCTTTACAAAATTGGGTGCTGAAAAATCAACCTTATCTCTCACTGTAGCTAAGGCTTAAGTAGTCTCTCTTTGGTAACTTTAGAAATTACTCTTGGTTTTTTCCTCCCCTTTTCATTTGGCTTTATTGTTGGTCTGCTTGCTTTTTTTCCATCCCTTTTTACCCTATAGCCCCACATGAACATTTAAAACAGCTTGATATTTTGGCCAATTGGTGAGTGTCAACATGAATTTTCTTGGTAATAACAATGAAAAAATTGAAGGAAATGGTTGTTTTAAGCAACATAACTGAGCAGGAATCTCAGGATTGATGGTTATTTCAGCTATTAAATAGGATATTTATGTTTTATGTTCCACTGTAAAAATTGAATACAATGTTATGTGTACCTTAAGTTCAAGTAAGGACAATTTTTTTCTTTAGCAGAGATATGCTTCTGAGAGTTAAGGCTAAGTCAGGAATCTAGGAGTATAAAAAAACTGGGCCAATTTCCTCTTTTTTGAGGAAGGCTTTTGCAGAGGCATTTGTTGAGCTCTGCGAAATATGCTTTGCTCATTCTGATTGCCAGAGGCATGATAGGGGAAAGTTTTTCACTGAAAACAACCTACGGGGTGATCCTCTGTTACTTTTCTAAAAGGTTCAGGACAGAACTTGCATGCCAAAGAGTGGTAGGGTTAAGGTGGCTTATCAATCTTTGCACCTCTTCCCCCCTCCCCCGGATATTTTGTTGCATATTTTAGATAGCCATAAGCCCTGGAGGTCACCCCTGGAATGTCTACTATGCTGGAGCCTGGAAGGGATTCTTTGGAGGCAGTCTTCTGACTGTATTTCTCAGTTCCTGTACTTATGGGGGAATCCCCCTTTGGCTAGGTAAGGCGCTTTTAGATCCCCTGTGCGCTGCTCTGGCCCTTTTACTCAACACAGCACGCCCAGAGTCCTGTCTGAGAGTCAGCTCCATGTTTCTTTATCTGACTGTCCACATTGTAGAGATGTTCCCAGTGAGATGAGTATGTAGCAGTGGCACCTGAGGTAAGTAGGTCTGTCCCCTTAAGGAATTGCAAATTAGATCCTTCAAGGACCATTTTAAATGATGTAAAGTTGTGTAACAATGCCTGGCTTGTATACAGCACTTTTCATCCATAGATCTCTTTACAAAGGAAACTAGTGTTATTTCCATTTTACAGATGGAGAAACTGAGATACCGGGAATGCAGTGACTTGCCCGAGGTCACCCAAAATACCAATGACAGAGCAGGGGATAGAACACGTGCCTCCTGAGTCGTGATCCAGCAGGTCACACTACCCCTTTACGATGTAAAATCCTAAAATCTCTCTCTCTCTTCCTTGTGTGTGTGTCCATGGCCTCCCCTGCCCCAGACACTGTTCAGGGACGGCAAAACGGGCCGGACCCTTGGGAAGTGGAATCTGCCCAGGCTGTGCTGCCAGGCAGTCTTGCTGGTTCCTAAACAGTGTCGGGGGCAGGGAGCGACTCCATTCAGCGCTTTGTCGCAGCTCTGGATAAGCCTATCACAGGAAATGGGGCTGTGGCAGCGCCACCGCCATTGCTCACACGGGAGACCTGGGTTGGTGGGTCCTGGGGACGTTGGAGGGCCTTCCCAGCATCCAGAGGGCCTGAGGCACCATATGAGAGCAGGCCCCCAGAGGAACAGCGTGGGGCCTAGTAGCTAAGGGGAGGCACTGGCTGTGCATTGGGCTGGCTCTGGCACCTGTGGTGCACGATCACCTGCGTGGGATGGGGCGAGCTTTGGGGGTTGCAAGTCTGTGCTCCTCCCAGGCAGGGGCTCTCAGCCCCTCAGCCCAGGGGGCTGCTTCAGTTGGTGCGAGGTCCAGGGCGTGGCCCACTCACGCCAGGAACAGAGGCAGGCTCTGCATCCCTGTCAGCCCTTTCTCTGCTGCGCCCTGAGTGGCCACACCAGCACCAAGCTGGCCTGGTGGAAACTGCTGCTGATTCCAGCAACTCCTTAGGCATCACAGAGGGGAGGCCCAGCAGTGTTCGGAGCAGCTAGGGATGGTGGACTAGCGATGGAAGAAGGGAGGTGGGCTGTGGGCCATGAGCTATTTTATTGGCAGGAGTGGGAAGAGTGCAGGCAAGGGGTACTAGCTGGCAATTGAAGAGCATGAGTAGGTGGGGTGAGTTGAGAGCATTCGGTTAGAGGGGCCCATGCAGGGGTGTGATGGGCGGGAGTAGAGAAGGATGCGAGTGACTTGGGGCCGTGGAAAACGCAGCTGGGCCCAGTGCAAGAGCAGCTGGGGGAGGGGCACAGCCCTCCTCTGTGTGTGTGTGTGTGTGTGTGTGTGTGTGTATTTATATATCTATACATACATACATACATTTTCCTGCAGGACAACAGAGTGATGTCATCACGTCATCTACGTCCCACTGCCCGCCTCCGCCTCTCTCCTCAGCCACACAGCCTCATCCCTTCCCCGGTGCTCCTGGGAGGCAGGAGCCGTGCATCCTTCCTGCTTGGGCATGCACTCCTCCTCCCGTCTCTGCCAATAAGTGAGATAGTGATGGGGGTCCAGGATCTGGATGGAAGATAGGGTCCAGGAGGGGTTGAGGGTACAGAGTCTGGCCAGGTGGGAGGATACAAGAGCAGGCTGGGGGTAGGGTGTGAGGACAGAGGGGTGGATGCAGGAGCAGGCTGGTGGTAGGGTATAGCAGTCGGGGGAGGGGGAGTGGTTGGCCAGAGTAGGGATGTTAAATATCAGTTAACTGAATTGTCGAGTAACCTCATGAATTTTTATCGGTTACTCGACTATTCTATAGTCTGTGGGGGCGGGGCCCACAGCCAGTATCAAGCCAGTATCAGAGGCAGCAGCACGGGGTGCCAGGTGGGAGCTAGTTCTGAGGGGAGCCAATTTAAAAACCAGCTCTCCTCACGGACCAGCTGCCTGTCACCCTCCTCCATTCCCTATTCCTCCCCAAGCGCATGTTGTGCCCCCATGGGTGAGAGGAAATGAGGAGCCCTGGCCAGCCACAATTATGGGGTGGGGATGGAGGGAGGCGTGCGCCTGCTGCTCTGCCTCAGCCCCAGCACTGCCACCAGCAAAAGCAGCTGAATGTGCCGGGTGGGGAGAGCCCTGGGAAGGCACCTCCGGCTTCACCTTAGCCCCAGTGACGCAGCCAGCAGAGGCAGCTGTGTGAGCGGGAGGGGGAAGCGGAGCCCTGGTGATGCGCCTCTTGCTCCACCTTCTCCTGCTGCCGCTGGCAAAAGTGGTCAAACAGGCAGGAGGAGTGGCCGTTGGCAGCGCGCACAGCTCCCTCCTTTGCTCCCCCTGCTTCCCCATGCACATCTTCCCAAGTGGGGAGGAGTGAGGAAGGTGCCTCTTGCTCCACGACCTGCTGCCACTGCCTGAGCCACCAAGGCTGCCGGAGGCGAGACGCTGGGAACAGCTGGCGTAAGCTCCATCAGCCGTGGCGGCCTGGCAGCAAATGGTTCATGGCCCGGCTGTTGGCAGGTGCTGTTCTAGTGTAATTAAAAATAAGATAAGAACACCCTGTGGCAAATGGTAACCCTAGATTTTTCTTATTGCAGCTGTTTATATCATATACTTGAGTGATAGATTCTAAACCTAGATAACTAATTAAACAAGCCATTAGAATTAGTTTAGCTAAGCTAAGCTTTCTTTTTTCTGAAAAAACTTAGAAAACAGCGAATAGTCCTGTAGCTCCTTAGAGACTAACAAAAAATGTAGTGGGTTGTGCCCATAAAAGCTCATGCTATCATCTACATTGTGCGCTAGCCTCTAAGGAGCTGTAGGACTATTTGCTCTAAGTTTTTTTTCAGTTATAGGCTAACATGGCTACCTCTCTTTTTCTTTTTTCTAGAAGCATTCAGCATAGCAAACAACTTTGGTTCTACTCAGTAACTATCCAAAACAGAGCAGAATTATCTGTTTTGGATAGTTCATTTTCATCATATGAGTCAGATCTTACCAGCAGATGATTGATTTTCTTTTTTTTGGTGGTTCGGTTTTTGTAGTTTTCATATTGGAGTATTACTCTTGTTCTAAAAGCATGCTCCACATCTTGTCCCGCTCATACTTTGAATGGCACTTCAAAATCTGAAACCTTGGGTCAAGTGCTGTAGCTATTTTTAGAAATCTCCTATTGATGCCTTCTTTGCATTTGTCAAATCTGCTATGGAAGTGTTCTTAAAATGAACATGTGCTTGGGTCATCATCTCAGACTGCAGTAACATGAAACGAATGGTAGAATGCAGGTAAAACAGTAGGAGACATATAGTTCTACCTCAAGGAGTTCAGTCACAAATTTAATTAACACGTTATTTTTTAATGAACATTATTTGCATGAAAGCATGCTTTCTTGAATTGTGGTCAAATGTAGGGGCATACAAATGTTTAGCATATCTGGCACATAACTATCTTGCAATGTCAGCTACAAAAATACCATGCAAATGCCTGTTCTAACTTTCTGGTTACATCTACTATATATTTGAGAGAGTTTGCCTGTTTATCTGTTTTCTATGTTTTTTCCCCCCGTTTAAGAGCTCTTCCTAACCGGTAAGAGCTAGGACCACCAAATTCTGTATACAGCTTCCTCTGATCATAACTTTAAAAAGCAAGGTAAGGGTTTAGTTATGCCAGGAAAGTGGGATGTGATTGGAATGGGATTGCTTCTCAGAAAACCATACCAAAAAGAGACTGAATCAACAGGCAGGTGAAAGGGATTGCCCCAGCCTTGAGCCTCACACGCTCTTTGGGGGGGGAGGGGGGCTGAAGCCCTCCCGCATGATATGTATGGGGACTTTGCTTGTGTTCCTCTTCATCAGTAATTGAGAGAAAGTGCAGTTTACTGCATTCCTCATTCTTCTTGGGGCACGGAGGGAGCATACGAAGCTGGACTTGCCCCAGCTGTGGGACATGTGCGACTCCCCTGGCTGTGTCTGCTGGAGCTGAAGCAGCCATGGGAGGTGCTTTTCACCAGTGAAAAAAGGCTGGGATAGTCCTCTCTCTCTCTGGGACAGTCTGTATACTGAACCCCTCATCCCCAGCCCTACCCCAGAGCAATTATTTAAATGAAGTATGTACAATTTCATTTAATTTTCCACAAAAAAAATGTTTTTAAGGTAAGGACCCAAGTAATGCCAGGTAAATCTTCTAGTTGTAAATAGGAGGGCAGCATTATTTCTTACAAATTGCAACCAAATATGTTTGTCTTAGAAACTGGCTGAACAGGAAGTAGGACTGAGTGGATTTTTAGCTTCTAAAGCAGGGATGGATAATAATTTTGAAAGGGGGGCCACTTCATAACTTTCTGAAGTGGCCTCAGGCCGTCCGAAGAGGCAGAGCCTCGGGCAGAAGGGGCGAGGCCAGGAGGCTTTTTGTGTTCCCTATCCACAAATCCTGATTGGCCTCAGGGTAGAGGAGCGAGTGAAGTCTTTGCCCCCACTCTCCAAGCCTAGAGAGAATCGCCAGCTGTTTTAAAATAAGTGGCAGTTCCCTCTAGGTGTCACAGCGGGAGTAGATTTCGCGCACTCCCCTTTCCCCCAGGCCAATCAGCCAGCGGTTCCCTCAGATGCTGTGTTCCCCCGTCCCCAGAATGGCAGGGCACCCGTTGACTGGATCCAAAGTGTGTATATTGGGGCTGCTGCTTCCCTGGCCCCGGTCCTGCTACTGGGGCTGCCGTGGCTGCTTTATCTCCAACCCCAGCCCTGCTTTTGGAGCTGCTGAGTCTCCAGCCCCACTACTGCAGCTGCCACATCCCCAGCCCTGCTACTGGGGCTGCCATGGCCCCTGCTGCTTTACTGGGGCTCCAGCGCTGGTCCCAGCCCCTCCGGGTTCAGGAACACTCAGGGGCCCTGGTTTTGGGACATCCAACCTGTA